CAGCCACACACACGCAGCTTAAGGGGAGCATTGCCACACTATCTCTGAACTTTGTCATGCATGGCACAGGGCTGCAGACAACTGAGGACTTAAAACTATGGCAGCCTTACCTTTAAGAAGCCTTGTTTCTAGATGATTCCTTCATCACAGCAGTATTGTCTTTGGTTAAGCCTGATTTGGAAAATTGCTTCCACTCTATTTCACTGAAGATGACACTCTATGGCTATCCAGCTACCAGGCACGAGGGACAAAATAACGTGTTTTGTCAAAATTTAAATGGTGCTTTTTTGAAAATAGTTAACATCCCATAACTTCAATAATCAAAAGTCAAATGCACTTACCCTAAATTATAGAATGTTAACTCATACTGTCTTGTCATTCTAGGTGATTGGAATTTTCCAAAAGATTCACTAATAAAATCAAGCAAGAAAAAGTAAATTGTAAGATTTGCATTCTCTGAGGAACTAACTCACTTTTTTATCACTGTTGTTAGTTAACCTGCAGTGATAATACTAATGATAATAACACCTAAGGTGTATAGAAAAATTCCGATATACCAGCCATGGAAATTTTATACTACCATATGACCCAGATACCCCACCTCCGGGAACCTATCCAAATGAAGTGAAACCTGCATAAAAGAAAGCAACATGCATCTCTCTATAACAATACAATACATAACAGCAAGGACATGAAAACAACTCAGACTCTCATCAAAAGAGGAATGAAGAAACAAGCTGTGGTTAATCTACTCCATAGAACATTGCTCAGCCATTAGAAACAATGAAATTCCATCATTTGCAACAAAATGGTCCCAACTGGAGACCATTATGCTCAGTAAAATAAGTCAATTCAATAAAGCAACATCTCAGCAAACCACGAAACAGACAGATGGGTAATTGTGCATACACATATATTCCCATAAATGAACCATACAATGGAGGCCAGCATACTGGAAATGAAGATACTTTGAAGTATGTATCTCCCAAGTAAAAAGAGAATTCCCAATGAAACTTCAATATATTTTGACAACACGATACTAGATTTTCTATTTTTGTCTATACCTGCCATGCCATGACACTTAAGTAGCACACATTCAAATTTCTGTTACTAAAGAACCATACTACTGTAATAATATGTGGGAAAGTGATGGGAGAAGGAAAGAAATGGGAGGAGAGGAAGAGAAGAGAGAGGAACCCTAGGCCTACAAAAAGGTATCATGGAAAATAATTTTAACAAAAAACAAATTAGAGAAAAGTTCTTATATGCCAAAAATGGAAATTTTTTTTATATTCACATATAATTTAATCCCCAAATGGAAAAGCAGGAATCACATTTGATCCACAGCCACACCCGCAGGCCTAGCACAAACACAAGAAAACGAACCTTAAATATTTGCAAAAGAATGGATATGCAAATGTTTCAATCAGCCCTCCTCTTTTGAACTATGAACTGAATACCATGCCCTGGTAAAATTCATGCTAAATACAAGTATGTAGAATAATTAAACAAAAAAGCTGAAAAATACTCAGAAAAAAATCCTCTTCCTTCAGAGATACTCACTTGCTGGGTGACTTTTGATGTAACATAATCTTACAAGGTTGTAGAAAATGAAGAATCACAACAAGTACTTATGCCCAAGATTAATGCTGCCCTTGTGTGTGACACCATTTTGTGAATACAGAAACTTAAAAGTAATAGTTTTATTTTAGAAATTGTAAAAAATATCAAGACTACTTTGATATTTTAAAGACTGTGAAGGAGATGAGCCACAATCAGGATATGCAGATCCTGTGGTGGTAAAAGACAAATACAGTAATGGATGAACAAGGCAGCAGTGGCAGGTTGATGAAAAGTTGTAATAAACTATTTATAATAATCAAATAGAAATAACAAACCATACGTTTTAGATAGAAACATACAACACGTCAGTCCCAGGCACTGCTTTCCTTCATGTAGCTACATAAATTTTCTAAAAATATGGTAAAATAACATAGCATATGATATTTAATACTGTCTTCTTTTAGTCAACATTTCTGGGAGGCTCACCCTGGTAGCACATATCAGTGTTTTGTTCATTTTTATTGCTGAAAACTATTTGCTTAAATAGATATACTACAGTTTCTGTATGAATATATTAGATGTTGTTTATTCACTAGTTAAAAGAAATCTGGATTTTGCCAGAGAATAACTATCATAAATAATGCTGTTATGAATAGTCACATACTGTTCATACTTGTGTCAACCCACGTTTTATTTCTCCTAAGAAGATATCTAAGACAAACATTTCTGAGGTGTATGGTAAGTTTAGGCTTTTTTGTGAAATAGTTTTTCCATCGTGCATTCCCAGCAGTACTGGCTGAGGGCTCCAATTTGACCACACAATCACCAACACTAATAGTATCGACATGTTTTACTCATCGAGTACATTTATTTTAGTATTATATTGTGCTTTTGATTTTCAATTCCCTAATGAATAGCGAGACTATGAGTCTCATGAACTTACTAGCCACTCACAGATATGTTTGGAGAAATAACCATCCAAATCTGTTGCTTTTTGTATCATTATCAGCTGATTCACCTGGAGTAAATTATACTGAGCTTAATAATGTAGAACAAGCAGAAGTAAATATTTCTAAGAGTCAAGAATCCTGTTGTGAGAGGAAGGAAGGAAGGAAGGGAGGGAGGGAGGAAGGGAGAGAAAGAGAGAGAGAGAGAGAGAAAGAAAGGAAGGAAGGAAGGAAAGATAGGAAGAAAGAAAGAAAGAAAGAAAGAAAGAAAGAAAGAAAGAAAGAAAGAAAGAAAGAAAGAAAGAAAGAAAGAAAGAAAGAAAGAAAGAAAGAAAGGAAGAAAGAATGAATCCTGTCATTGGGATGGCATTGTGACATAGCATAGTTGCATGTTAAGTCTTCTCCTGAAATGCTGGCAACCATTGTGAGTCCAGCTGTTTCACTTCCAGTGCTGCTTCCTGCTAATGTGCCTTGGAAAGCAACAAAAAGATTTAGGCTCAAGTATTTGGACGCCTACATCCATATGAGAAACCTAGATGGAGCTGCAGGCTCCTAACTTATGCTTCCCTGCCTTGACCATTGTGGTTAACTAGGGGAGTGAGAAAAAGAGTGGAAGATTACCATGTCGGTAATTCTGTGTTTCAGATAAATGAATAGATAGGAAGGAAGGAAGGAAGGAAGGAAGGAAGGAAGGAAGGAAGGAAGGAAGGAAGGAAGGAAGGAAGGAAGGAAGGAAGGAAGGAAAGAAGGAAGGAAGGAAGGAAGGAAGGAAGGAAGGAAGGAAGGAAGGAAGGAAGGAAGGAAGGAAGGAAGGAAGGAAGGAAGGCAAGAGAAAGGGCACAAAGAGGCCATTAGAAACTACAAGGGAACAAAAACAGTGCCATAGAGGGAGGGAGGGAGGGAGGAAGGAAGGAAGGAAGGAAGGAAGGAAGGAAGGAAGGAAGGAAGGAAGGAAGGAAGGAAGGTGGGCAAGAGAAAGGGCACAAAGAGGCCATTAGAAACTACAAGGGAACAAAAACAGTGCCATAGAATGAAACTGTAATTAGACTGATTGACTTCATCTAAATAATATTTACTTATATGAACAATATACATTTCAGAACTCCAGAATTCACCTAGAGACAAAATAAAGATGTAATCATGTTTCAAAACTGAGCAGGGTAAAAATTTTATAAATTTTATAGAACTAAGAAATGCAGAATTTGTGAGAAGCAAGAACTCCAGGGGATTGCAGAGTTTGGTATTGTCACTTTACAGGGTGAGGAGTAAGAAGACAGAGCATTGATGAAGGAAGAAATAAGGTGCAAAGTGTATTTACACAATAATTAAACATAAAATAAACATTAAAAACACTATATTTGGAAGGTGAAGAAGAGTAATGTGTAAAATCAAGAAAAAGATGATGAGTTAAAGTTGATATTACATGAAGATAAAGGTGATGATGAGAGTTTGGACAGGGGTCATGTTTTTTTAATCACTAAAAAGTGATTAAAACTTTTTTTTTCCAATATTACTTAATTAAAATAAATTTCAAGCTATGGGAGAGAGCTGTTTCAAGACTTAGTGGAATGCTGAATCCTTTGCCTAGAAACTTTATTGCGTTACAAAAGTCCATGTCCTGTGGGCTTGTAAGGACAAGTGTGATTTCTGAGGTCACTGCTAAAGGGAGACATGTGTGGCTATTAGCTCACTTCTCATACAATACAGCCATAGACTACAAACGGGGACTTTTTTTTTTATGGAAAAGGAAACCAAGCCGGATGATAGTAAGAAAACAGACAACCAGTGATGTGCAATGACTTGGTTGCTCACGAGTTCTTTGCCAGCTGATGAGCGTTTAAAACTGAGCCAAAGGAAGATCACAAAGTCAATATCCTCTGCCTTCTCTCAAGAGTTCCAGCAGCTGGAGCTTCACTTTGTCAGGCCGAGACATTTCATAGAAACATCTGGGATCCGTTAGTGTCCGAAGGACATTCTTCATTTAAAATATTAACCTGCTTTTGAAGGCTGTTTCAGAAGAAACGAATGTCCCGTCCTTGCTCTCCCTGCCAGCAGGCCATTTCAAAGTTACAGTTTGCTCTAGGAAATCCAAGAGGAACTCCCTTCCCACCATCCCAACCGTTTCTTCATTCCATATGCGAAGGCTGCGGGACAGTCCGCAGGGAAAGAAGCATCTCCTGGTTCCTGAACCTACTTCCAGATGCTAAGCCCCCCGGGGAGAGGAACAGACCCCAGCTTCCAACCCCTTTCCAGATGACAGCCTCCAGAAAGAGCGGCGCAGCAGACACCTACTCCCCAGCTTCCAGATGTGGGCCAAGGAGCACACAAAGAAACCACCGCAGCCTCTGCCCTCCCTGCCGCAGCGAATTCCCTGAGAACCAAGACTGCCTGCAGCCTTTCCAGCCATGCTCCACGTCAGGTCTCCAGGGAGCCAAGGTCTGTTCTCTCACACACTTCTTTCACATGCTCCCGAAGCGAGCCGTTCCTCACCTGAGTCAAGGTGCTTAGCTCTGGACACACTTTGGGAATCTGGTTATTCTGAAGGTTCAAAGTCCTCAAGCCCGGCAGTTTTTCTAATGCAGAGGGCATTTTTGTCATCTTCTTCCCATTCAGTGTAACGATCTTAGTGTCTTGGCCACCCTTTAATGCTCTTATTAACAATCTCTCAGCCATGGTCTTGGAAGAGACATGGAAAAAGCAAAGGGCAAGATTTAGAAGTTAGAGCTCTTTGGAGCTTCTAATGACAGAATGAAGGTGTCATGAAATGAAAACATTCTAAGTTCCTCCATGGTGACTTAGGAAGCAAGAGACGTGTCCTGTGAGTGAAACAGGAAACAAAGGCAAGAATCAGAAGTCAGAATTCTTTAGAGCTTCTAGTGGCAGAATTGATGTGTCGTGAAACAAAAACATTCTAAGATCTTTGATGCTGAAGTAGGAAGCAGGGCAGTGTATCCGTGTGAAAGGCAGGCCAGGAACAAAGCTGGTCTAGTTTGGGGCAGGAAATGTAGCAGACAAGCCTTGGGTGTCTTATTCTAGAAACATGGAGGTGATTAAAGCGCTGTGTTCATATCAAAATGACAGCAGTAGTCATTTTCTGGAAGCTCCTATCAATCTAAGATGAAAAAATACTGAAGGTTAGCAAAGTAATCAGAGTGGAATTGAACATATCAAAATATGGTAACACCTGTATGAAAATGACATTTTTAAAACAGAAATATAGTAACAAGGGAGTGGTGAGGTACCAAGTATGAAAACTGACAAAGGAAAAAAAAGCAGCATTTATTCTGCTCTTCCTTTACAAACTTTATTTCAATAGAAACAGATAGTTGAGGGAATTCTCAGCTACTGAGCAACTGGTGCTAAAAAAAAAAAAATCAGGAGAAGGGCCCGGCGCGGTGGCGCAAGTGGTTAAGGTCCTCGCCTTGCACGCCCGGGATCCCATGTGGGCGCTGGTTCTAATCCCGGCAGCCCCACTTCCCTTCCAGCTCCCTGCCTGTGGCCCGGGAAAGCAATCGAGGACGGCCCAAAGCTTTGGGACCCTGCACCTGCGTGGGAGACCCGGAAGAGTCTCCTGGATTCGGATCAGCATAGCATCGGCCGTTGTGCTCACTTGGGGAGTGAATCATCGGACAGAAGATCTTCCTCTCTGTCTCTCCTCTCTGTATATCCGCTTTTCCAATAGAAAAAATAATAAAAATAAATCTTAAAAAAAAATCAGGAGAAAAAGAATGGTCTTAGAAAAATCACCGTTTTTTTAATTATAATGAACTAAAAGATGTATACTAAAATCATATTTGGATGCTAAAATTAGGTGAAAGGTTGATTGAGAACTTAATCAGAAAGGGGTCAGACTAATAACCCCCGCTACCGAGACCATCACATTACAAGCCTTAATACATGAGGCAATAAGAAAAAGTGCACAATGCCATTTGCGAAGTGTCGTTGACTAAAAAAAATGGAATCAGAATCTAATCATGGCCTTGAGAATTGCCAGTTACAGAAAGCAGGAGCACCAAAGAACAAAAGAAGTTCATACTAGAAAGTAGTGAGCCCAATTCAAAGCCTAGGAAATTCTACAGGGCAAAAAACACAATGCTTCGTCAACAGTTATTTGGCCTCAATAAAACTAAGGGAAAACAATAATAAAGGAAATCAAATTTAGCAGCAAATACAATTCCTGAAACTTGTTTTAGTCTAGATTTGAATTTCCAATGAGGATTTTTACTAGGCGATAGGAATGACTCTGTTTTCTGTGGTAATGGCATGGAGATAGTGTTGATTTTAAATGTACTTAACATCTATACCTTGTAACAGTTTGATTATTTTCTTCTTTGGTTATTTTCAAATAAATTATTAAAACAAAAAATGAAGGGGAAGATACAGTCAGTGCTATTTTAATATTATCAGAAACTAATTTGCACCAAGTATGATGAAACCTGAAGGCATATGGCTTATATTCTCCTATGAACATGCCACATTTAGATTGATTTTCAAAAACTACCCGTTATTTTTTAAAAATCTGCACTGAAAGTATTCTGCACTGCAATGTAATTCACTCCTTCCTATAGCATCAAAAACTGCTTCATTCACTTATCAGCAAGTAATTATGGAAAACCTGCTACATACTCAACGTTGTGGCAGATACTGAGATAAAGGAGTGATTTTTTAAAAAGGCTCTGTTCTGAAATTACATTCTACTAGAAGAAAGATAATCATGATACATGAATAAAACGAGCATATTCAATGATGATAGATGCTAAAGGAGGCATGGAGTGTGGGGAATGAAACATTTACAAATTTTTAAAGAATACTTATTTGTATTTGAAAGGCATTTTACAGAGAGAGAGAGAGGGATTTCCTTCTGCTGGTTCACTCCCCAAATGACTGAGCTGATCTGAAACTGGGAGGCAGGAGGTACTTCCAGATCTGCCTCATGCCCACAAGGTCCCAAGGACTTGCGCTATCCTCCGTTGCCTTCACAGACCCTAAGCAGAGAACTGCATCCAAAGTGGAGCAACTGGGACTTGAACCAGAATTCTGATGGGATGTCGGCACCACAGGGCACAGCATTAGCCTGTTGAGCTATTGCTGCCAGCCCAAGAAGTTTACAAATTTAAATAAAACAACCAGAGAGAGCATCACTGAGAGACAAAACCTTTTCCGATAGAAGGGTAAATGCCTCGGTCCTAAAAATGAATATTAAATTTAGAAAGATATCATGAACATCAATATTACCATAACAGAGAAGCAAGAAGTGCTGATTAATAGGAGTGTCCAGTTCTTAGAGTGACAAAACAGCCTTTCCTGTTTCCAGTTCCTTCAACTTCCTGCTATTCGTTTAGCTATAACGACATTCAAGCTGTTACTATCTAAACAAACTGATGGCAAGACCAGAAAAATCCCAAGACATTCATCACTAAAGGGACTCATGTGGCCAGCACCACAGCTGACACTATAGAAACAAGTTGTTAAACTGACGTTAGTGGTATGGAAGTCACTACAACCTGACACTGTTTTCTGGTAATATTCGTAACCCAGAAAACCTGGTCATCCTTGGTTCCTTCTCCCTTACTCCCAATACACAGGCAATGTTGTCACTACCACCTGTTCCACTTACCTATTGCTATGAAACAAGCCACTACTTAGTGACTTAAAACAATTGCTTTAAATTACACAAACCCTATTTTGGACATGGGTTGTCTGTGCTTTTTTTCTAACTGAGACATCTCAAAAACTGGAATGGGAAATATCGAAGGGCTCATTTACCCACATCTAGTGGTAGAGGCTGGATGCTGGTAGCTGGCCAGGTCCTTAGAGTGGTCACCCTTCACGTGAAGCCTCTCTCATGTGGCTTGAGCTTCCTCCCAACATGATGGCATGGATTGATAGGTGGGACATCCCAAGAGCAAAAAGAGGGTAGGTGCTATGTTTCTTGCATGGCCTAGCCTCACGTATCACAAAGAATTATTTATGCACAAATTGTTCACTAGCAACAGGTCACTGAAACCAGTCCATATTTAAGTAATGGTTTTATTTATTTAAAGGCAGAGCGCCAGAAAATTAAAGGGAAACAGCACCAGAGAGCTTTCATCTATGGGTTCACACCCCAAACAGCTACAATGGCTGGGACCGGGCCAGGCCAGAGTCAGGAACATGGAAATCTATCATGTCTCCCACATGGCTGGCAGGGTTCACATACTTGGACTATCATCTGCTACTTTCCCACTTGTATTAGCAAGGAGCTGATCGGTGGAAGACAGGACTCCAACCCATGCTCTGATGCTGGATCTGATGCTGCAACTGCTAGCCTCAAAACTAGTTCATATCCAAAGGATATGTACCAACAAACACAGCTATGCCCTGGGAATGTGGGCATATCAAACCTACAGATAAGAGACAGCACCAGGGACCAGCATTGCTGTGAAGTGGGTTAAGCTGCAGCTTATGAGACCAGTATCCCACAGGCGTGCCAGCTGGAGTCCCATCTGCTACACTCTTGATGTACTTCCCTGCTATTGTACTCTGGAAAGTAGCAGCAGATGACTTAAGAACTTGGGCCTCTGCAACCCGTGTGGGAGATCCAGATGGAGTTCTGGGCTCTTGCCTTTGACCTGGCCCAGGACCAGCCATCATGGTCATTTGGGGAGTGAACTAGCAAATGAAAGATTCTCTCTCTCTCTTTCTCTCTCTCTCTCTCTCTCTCCATTACAAATACATAAATAATTAAGCATTTTTAGCAAGGAAGATATTGCGGCTGGCACCAAGGTGCAACAGGCTAATCATCACTTGCAGTGATGGCATACCATAAGGATGCCAGTTCTATTGGCTGCTCCACTTCCAATCCAACACCTTGTTTACGGCTTGGGAAAGCAGCAGAAGATGACTCAAATCCTTGGTCTCATGCACCTATGTGGGAGACCAGGAAGAAGCCCCAGGCTCCTGGATTCTGATCAGCTCAGCTCTGGCCATTGCTGCCATTTGGGGGAGTGAACCAGTGGATGGAAGATTTGAGTATAGTTGATCTGGAAGCCTACAAACTAGAGATCCTTGGACAGATGTGTGGTACAGCAGTTAAGGCAGCACTTTGAGATGCCTACATTCCATATTGGAGTTCTTAGTTTTATTTCCAGGTCTAGGTTCCTGCTAGAACACTCCCTGGGAGGGGAGGCAGCAAATGCTAGCTCAAATACATAGGTCTCTGCAATCCATGTGTGGAACTAAGTTCTAGACTGCTTTCAGCATGGTCAGGCCTGGCTGGCTGTTGCAGGCATTTGGGCAACTTTTAGAAAGAAAGAAGACCAATCTCTTTCTCTCTCTCTCTCTCTCTCTCTCTCTCTCTCTCTCTCTCTCTCTCCCCTCCCCTCCCCTCCCCTCCCCCATCCCTCCCTACTTCCCTCCCTGCCTTTTAAAAAAAAGAGAAACAGACACATTATCTATTTCTGCATTCCTAGAACCCAGAGGTGGATAAGCATATCGCAGGCAGGGCATTTTGCTGCAGCAGATGATTGAAACACCTGTGACCCATATCGGAGTCCCCAGGCTGAGTAGTGATTCTGTTTTTGATTCCAGTTTTCTGCTAATTCCAATCCTTGGAGATAGCAAGTGATGACAAAGGTATCTGAGTCCTGGCCACCCACGTGCGAGACTTGGAGAGTCTTACAGTTTGGGCCTGC